AAACTCCCCTTTAATGATCCGAACTCCTGCCAGTTGTTGTTGAATTAGAGAATCATGAAACTGTAGCCACGATTAGCCATGGAAAATGCTATAATCAATATTTTGGTACAAGCTTCCATGGAGAACACGGTGAAGATATCAAAGACAGCGACGGAACAGTACACACGGTGAAGACTGGTCCTTCGTTCTGTCTCTGTTCGTTGACACCGAGAAGGAGAAGAAGAAGATGATGGATGGAGCCGAAGGGAGGTTCTGCCACGCTGTCGCTTCTCGCTCTCTCTTGCGCCTCTGTTCAACTCCCTCTCGCTCTCAAGCTCGTGTTGCTGTGTGTGTCTGCCGTCAGGAATAAATCGCGGAGAAAACAGAGGAAGGTGATGAAGTCGCCTCTGGTTCGCTGTTTCTGTTCCACCGCCAAGCACCCTCGCATCTTTGCTCTGTTCACACTGCTGTGCCTCTGTTTCTCGCTCTTTACGGCAGGCAGTAAAACGCACAGTTTTACTACCTGACCCTCTTATTATTATTTTATTTTTAAATTTTTTAATATATTTCTTTCCTTTTTTTTAATTTTTAATTTTTTGACAAACCTGCAACCAAAATTCAAGAATAAGGTAGCATTAATTGTCCTTAAAAATTAATCAATCACAATTATGAAAATTTTATCCCTATTATGCACTAATTCAAGTTAAAGCACTCTAATGTGAATGAAACTCAAATAATGCAATTAAGGACCAATAATAATGACAAACCCACAAAAACTATATAAAAATGCATATAAAGACATAGGTTTGTCAACGTCTTAAAAGGGATTAGTTTTAAACCATCAGTTAATTAAGAAATATTCTTATATACATATATCAAACAGTAGAATTTATTATCAATTTTATATTTTATATTAATTCATAATTAATAATATTCATAGGGTTGTTAATAACATGAATCATAATGAGACAGCTCATCATTTACTAGAATTCAGAAATTAATATGTAAACGTATTTATTTAGGTGATCCTATTATATGCGAATGATGAGACCCCTACCTTTTTTTGTGTGGCCAACGAGACCCTTGGCTACTTCACAGTTGTAGAGCAAGAGCTCCAGGTCTGCCCACATTAACTACAACTTACTATCACCTTTAAAATTTCATTTCGGACTCATTCAATTAGAATTGTAGGACCATAAGAGTTCAATAGAGTAGACTCGTAGAGATCTAACTCTCCTAGTAATTATACTTACTCCGGTCCTAATTATAAGATCTCGTGTATAGAGTAGTAGCAATTATACTATCTTGGGTCCTAATCATAAAACCTCATTTGTTGTTTACAAACGAGGTCTTATATAATTAGAATTGGAGGTAGTAACATTTAATTAGATCTTTTCTTGTTCTTGGAATTTTGTCAATACATGTTTTTAATCTTATTAATAAAATAGTAGATTTATAAAGAAATATTATGCTGTTACCAAACAAATTACTCCAGTATAAAAAAAATATGTTATATTTATTAAAAAAGGTAAAATCCACTTTAATAATCTTTCTGTCTTAGAAGGATTAGTTTCTAGTTATCAGTCGGGAGATAGTGCAGTTTCAAGCCAAAACAAATGTTATATTTTGTCAACATGTTTTTAATCTTATTAATAAAATAGTAGATTTATAAAGAAATATTATGCTGTTACCAAACAAATTACTCCAGTATAAAAAAAATATGTTATATTTATTAAAAAAGGTAAAATCCACTTTAATAATCTTTCTGTCTTAGAAGGATTAGTTTCTAGTTATCAGTCGGGAGATAGTGCAGTTTCAAGCCAAAACAAATGTTATATTTTGTCAACATTTGATTATAAATTTTTTTAAAGAAGAAACAATAGTTGAATGTCATATTTAGATAATATTTTGTTGGTTAAAAAATTATATATATATATATATATATTTTGCATGTAGTGTCACGATGAAGCATGTAGTTTTCCGGGAGAAAACATCTACACAAGACTTCGAATTCGCCGGTCAACTAAATTTGAAGTGATAAAGACAACTTAAATATGATCCCAGAAAGTTTGAAGTGATCAAACTTTGAGTCAAGTCAATTTGTCTTTCTCTTAGTCCAAAGAAAAACACTATAAAAATATAATAGCGAAAATTCAAGGTGGGCCATTTCATTTAAATTGAACGGACGGGAAACTACAAATCTTTATCATGATCACCTATATTAATGCCCCAAAAAATAAAAAAAACGCGCGCGCGCACGCCCACAAACGGTTTCTTCATTATCTTTGATCAGGTCAAACCATGAATGCATACTTGAAATTTAGTTTACTTTTTTTTTTTTAAGAACTCCCAATTTACACGTTTACAAGTTCTAATAGAAAATTTATAATTACATATACGCATTTTATAAATTTTTACTTGTTATTTTGTTATTAATAGTTGTTAAAATGCAGACATATACTTGTAAATTTTGCTATTTTAGTTATTAAAATACTTATGTATACTTGTAAATTTTTCTACGAAAAGCTCTTATAATGTAAATTGTGAGCTGTAAATTATGCTATCTTCCATGTAAATTTTGTTATTTTAATTTTTAAAATGCTTATATAATTGTAAATTATGTAAATTAAGAGACTAAATTTATTACATATGTAAGGTTTTGAACTATAGAAATAAAAAAGGGTTTGATGGTTTGGTGGTCACAAATTTTTCAGTGAGTTGAGAGGTTATGGGTTCAAACCTTTCTCTTGGTTACCTTAACTGGCAGTGGTTAACTTCCTTTTTTTTTCCCAAAAATAAAGTAAAAGTATTTTGGTCATTTGACATGAAAGAAATGTAATTTTATTTTTATTCTTATATATTAAACTGAAATTTTAGAATTTTTTAGGACCTCTTTAAAATTATGTATTTTTTAGGGGTCTGCTGAAATTCTCTCCTTTTTTCTCTAAGTTATAGGACTCATTATATTATATCTTTGTCAGTTGGTACAACTACTTTGTCATATTTATTATTTTCGTTGTATTGCATGGAGGTAGTTAATTTGAATAAATATTAACATTTATTAGCCAAAAAAAAATAAAATGAAATAGAAATAACTAAAAAAAAAAAAAGCATTAGCTTCTACGTATTGAATGCAGAAGAAAAAGATCCGAACTCGTTCCCCGTAACACACATTAATTAATAAACTTATGAACGGTCCAATTAAATTTGAAGTTAATGGAATATATTTCTGCATATTTCTCTATTCCTATTTATAAAGCAATGACAACATATTTTATTCGAATCAAGAAAAATTTTAAATCTCTTTAACCAGTACTTTGCCTTATAATTTAATAACCTTTCAGTTTTATCCTATTTAATACCCGCACAGTTTTTCAAGAAAACAATAATTCATATAATACCAAATAAACGGTAAAATTGCAAATTCGTATGCAAAATTTAATAATGTGACTTATAAATAAATAGAACTAATTAAATAAACACTCTTCAGAAAAGTGTATATATTCTCACTGGAAATAATTGTGGAAAACTAAAATACTAAGAGATGAAAGCTAGTAGTATTGCGCAGGACCATCTTCACGTTCCAGACAAGCCTAAGGGATCTTGCGTTTACGTAGACCAAGTCAACTTGGAAGTAGGGTTTTTACGTGGCCCATATTTAAGGTCGATGTATATATGCATGATGCATGGTTGGTCACCATAACTAACCAGCGTGAGTCAATTAGCATAATTGTTCTTTATTTTTTCATATCGAAGATCCATCATTAATTATTAATTAGTAATTCAAAAAATACATAAAATTAAAGAAACAATGAAAGCAGACTAAGACCTCTCATCAATCCGCCACCTCTAAAAGATCTATCATCAATTATTAATTCCCTACGGTTTCTACTTATATAAACACATACCCCATCCTCTTTACTAGCGTACACAAACCTCTGCTCATCTTGGTTTGAATCTGAGGTGTCCCAAGCTGCATGGTTAGTCCATTTCTATTCTTTCTTTTCACTTAACTTTTCCTATTTTATATATATTTATATTTATCATGACATAATAATATGAGCCAGAGATAGCGTCTTCGTAGAATTCAACTAATCTCATGGAGAAGGCACCACCATGGATTGTATGGTTCATCTTGATCCAACTTTTGCTTAATATCTGTGATGCAATGCTAGACGATGCTGCTCACCCAGGCAAGCAGACAAAGTTGGATTTCGAGTCTTAGCTACCTTGTCTTAGCTGCTCCGTAATGTTTCCGCAATTCTTAAATTTTTTTTTTGGTTTGCTATCATTAGATTTTATATAAAATGAGTGACACTTTGATATCTTATAGGTAAAAAATGGTGTGGTTTTAAATTTTTTTAATGATTTTTCAAAGAAAAAATACTCTAAAATTGTAGTTCCTTTTTAATTTAGATAATAATTTTTTAAAAAATCATAAAAGAAATTTAAAACCGCACCATTTTTTACTCAAAAATATCAAGATATAACTCATTTTATATAGAGTCTAATATCATTGAAAAGTGGGGGAAAATCAAGAGGCAGAGAATGGTGGATGACACCCTAAATCTCACGAAGTTTCTGCTCATGTGGACTAAAGCTCAGGACTAGCTAACCTTTTATTTCGATGGTTAAATGTAAAACTAAACATAAACTACTGCGCTTGTATAAATTTGTGTTAACTTTTGCGCACACAAATTTCGTAAGCATTGACTGTGGAGCAAGTATTGGATACCCTGATCCAGAAATTGGAATCTCGTATCAGGTAGACATGGATTTCATAGGAACAAATTCAATGGTGGCTCCTGAATAAAGAAGTGACTTACATCATTCTCTTTTTGGGAGACAACTGCAGACCCTGAGATTTTTCCCAGAAGGAAAAAGGAACTGCTACACCTTGAAACCAAAACTGGGCAAAAAACAATTACCTCATCAGAGATTTCTTTGCATATGGAAATTATGACTTCAAAAATCAAACTCTGACTTTTGACTTGTTCCTTAATGTCGATTTTTGGACTACTATGGCTTTGGATTATACTGGTTATCAATTTGTAGAGATTATTCATACTCCCACAATAATCGACACCATACAAGTCTGCCTAGTCAACACTGGCAGAGGAATCCCTTTCATTTCTACGTTGGAACTACGACCTCCTACCAATTCTATTTATCTAACCCCATCTCCTTCTCAATCACCACTACTCGTTGATTCGAGAGTCGATGTTGGTTCCACTGAGTTTATTTCAGGCCATTTTACAAGGTGACTCTAATTTTATATTTGTTGTTAGGGTTTTGCATGCTTTCATCACCTAGGTTTTTCAATGAATTGTGTATTTATTTATCTAATACTGCAAGCATATAGGTTTAAGGACGACGTTTATGATCGTGTGTGGCGTGTGGATGATGCTTTTGAAGACAAAGGTTGGAAAAACTTCAATACGTCGAAATACATTGATGTTGGAAACATAAACGATTCTTACAAATTACCAATAGAAGTGCTCATGTCTGTGACCGCATCATTGAATCTCTCCTTTGCTCTGAGCCTTGACTATGACTCTATCTGGATGACACCACCTGAAAAGTCTTTCAGATATTATGTCTACTTTCACTTTGTTGAAATTGAGGAGCCACCCGCTGGACCAAAGAGAGCAATTGATATTACTGTTAATGGTGAAAGTATCAACACAGAGCCGATAACTCTTGAATACTTAAAGCCGGTGACAGTTATTAACGTTACAGATCAAGATTGTCTTGTTTCAGCATAAGTGCAACATCAGAATCTGATGCTCCTCCAATCCTTAATGCCATCGAAACTTACAAAATCATATCACCACTAACGTCTCCAACTTACCAAAGAGATGGTATATATGCTTTTCTATATTCCTCAAGCGGCTATTTCCTAGTGTTCTATATGATCTCCTGTGTGAGTGTCTGTGTGTGTGGGCTTTGACTTCTGATACCCTATTTATTGTTGGTAACAATAGCGGATGCCATTCGAGACATTAAAAAAAACATACAAATCTACAAAGTAGAATGGCAAGGTGACCCGTGTGTTCCGGAGAAAATTGCATGGCAGGGACTTGGCTGCAGATATGATATCATTGACTCTATCGCAAGGATTATTTCACTGTAAGTGTATTTCCACTCATTCCAAAGTATTGGCATGTTTGGCACTTGGATGTAAAATTGACTTGGTTTAATTTGATGTTAACTATTCAAATGCATCAATGATTTAAACTCTATATACTACTGCTCTCAAAACTTCACCATCTCCTGCCTTTGTATCTATTAACCATTATCAAAAGAAGAAACTTGAGCGCCAGCCAGCTTAGAGGACAAATAGCTGCTTCATTTTCACAACTTACAGAGTTAGTGTTCTTGTAAGTCTAGTGATTAAAAATTTAATCAGGACAAAATCTTAAGTATAGGAATTTTGTCATGTAAAATATTGCTTTGTTTTAGGGATTTATCAAGGAATGATTTGTCAGGATTGATACCGGCATTTCTTGCTAAATTGCCAAAGTTGACAATCCTGTAAGTTTTACAAAATGCATTAATATTATTTTTTAATACCTGATATACCTTAATAACTTGAAGACCACGTGATGAATGTATTTCACAATGCTTTTGCAGTTATTTGAGTGGCAACAAGCTTATGGGTTCAGTTCCCAAGGCTCTTAAAGAAACTTCACATTTGCAAATGAGGTTTCTCATCCTAGTCCGTCCTAGTTGCTCACCTATGACTACGTACCTTTTATTTCTTTTTCCTTGAATAAACTAAAATTATTTTACAAATATTATTGGTAAAATGTTACAAAAAGAAATTGAAAATCTCAATATTCCAATTTAGGTATCTAAGAGTTCAAAATCTTTGGGGAGAAAGTAATACCTGATCTGGTACTTTGCAAATCTAGTTAAATGACAAAAATACCCTTGTATTAAGAAGTTTATTAACAAGTTGTGAATTGGCAATGACAAGTGTTAAAAAACAAATGATAAGAAATATACTGACAATGACAAGTTATTTACTAATAAATTGTGAACTGGCAATGATAAATGTTGAACAACTAATGACAAGAAATGCATTGAAAATGACAAGTTTGATAGTTTTTTTTTCCAAATATCTTATACAAGGAAATTTTAATCATTTGACTACATTTGCAAAATACAAGATCTGACACTATTTCCTTCCCTGAGATTTGACTTCTTAGGTGCCTGAATTAGAATGTTATAATTTCTAACTTCTTTTAATATCATTTTCCCAATATTATTTTAATGTGATGAGATTGCTGTATCTTTTTCATTGGCTCCTCCTATTCTTGAGCCTATTGATGGAAAAAAAAAAAATTATTATTATTATTATATAAAACTCAATAAAGTTATTGAGCCAATTTTAATATATGATTCTAATTATATCCCCATATTTGACTTATCTTTCAGTTCGGATGATAATCCTAGTCTTTGTTTTAGGGATCCATGTAAAAAGCACAAGTTCCTTATTCCCCTTGTAGCATCCGTTTCGGCTTTGACGGTTATAGTCTTGATTTCTCTAGGAATTTGGATCTTCAGAATGAAAAACTCAAAGGTACGCACAAGATGCTACTAGTTGGTATTATTATGTGCTAATATAACTGGTTTTTTATGCATAAAAGAATATACATCCAGTCCTCAATATAAGACCCCAATTGATTAATTTAGAGAGATTGAGAAAAGTAAATAAATTATTTTAAAATATTTATATTTATTTTGGTTCTTTAAACTAATTTGCCTGACTTTTAGGCCGATATACAATCTAGTGATGCTCGTAAGTATTTTCAGAGAGATCATGTAATATATGCTATCATTAAGTCATTTATTTAGCTTTTATAATCTCCTCAAATTAGTTAAATAGGTCTTACATTAATAATATGAAGTAATACTTATAACGCTCCGAACTAGAAGTTCTGATTATTTTTATTAATATCTGCAGTTTCCAGAAACAAAGAGGCATCAGAACTAAGAAATCGTGCTTTTTCTAACTCCCATGTCCTTGAGATCACTGATAACTTGCAAAACTTGATTGGACAAGGTGGATTTGGAAAAGTCTATTTAGGCACCCTAAAGAATTGCACTCAAGTTACAGTGAAGTACTTTCTCATTCATCAGTTCAAGGTCATAGAGAATTCTGATGGTGAAAAATCCAAATCTATCTATTAGTGTTATTTCATTTTCTTATTTTGCCAGATATTTAATTATAAACATAATTTGCTCTACATTAGGTCCTTATTCATCATGTAATTGATAAAGTAAAATTTGAATTGCAGGTAGAACTTTTGATGTTTATTGATCATAGACACTTGGTTTCTCTGATTGGATATTGTGAAGAAAGTGGCGTCAGAGCATCAATATATGAATATATGGCTAATGGGAATCTCCACCATCATTGATCAAGTATAAAGTTTTGCTTTCTAGCTAGGGCTTGATTTTTTGCATGTCAATATTTAGCATATCATAGCAATCTAACCAACATGTCAGAATTAAAATATCTATAATAAAATTTATTACAAGGGTAGTAAATTTAATTTATTTCTTAAATTTCAAGGATTGCACAAGATAATGTATTTATTAATATATTATAATAAAAAACGAGAACTTGGTACTTTTTAATATATTAACATCTTTTTACTGATTCTTAATAAAATAGGAGTCCATAAATGCATTGAACGACTTTTAAAGGCACAGGTAAAAGAAATCTAATCGCACTGATTCTACAGGTAAGAAAGGAGGTCAATTGAAATGGAAAGATAGGCTTCAAATTGCATTGGATGCAATGTATGGTAAGTGTAACATTCCCCAAAAAAAATATATTATATAATATTTTATTATTATTAGATAATAATATTTTATTAAAAAAAAAAAACAATACACCCCAACTTTTCCACCAAAGTCGGTGGAAAAGCAGGGTGAATTGAAGGCGAAGAAGAATTTCGATCGGGTAATTAGAGAGGGAGGAGGAAAAAATGGCGAAGGATAATAAATGAAGGTAGAAAAACTTGAGGTGGACGGTTGAAATGAGAAGGATAAATAGAGGAGGGAGTGTTATGCAGAGTAGAAAAAGAGAGGGTGAGATGCGCAGAAGGAGAGACTGAGAGAAAAAGAGAGAAGTTTTCCTGGTCAAAAAAAAAAAAAGAGAGAGAAAGAGAGAAGTGTTAGCAGTTTGAGGAGTTACACAAGCTTTGAGGATCATATAGGTACATTAAACACTTCTTTCTATTAAATTTTTCCTTATGAATATTTCCTATATATTTAGAGCTTTATATTAGTAGTATCATTATAATGTTTAGAGAAAATTTTGTGATTTGGGTATAGAGTAAGTATTGAGTTTCGAAAATATTTGACCATAGGAATTTAAAGATTTATTATTAAGAAATTTTAATTGGTTTAGATTTGTCCATTTATTACCTGTGGTATTTAAAATCAAATTTATTTTGTTGAAAAATCTGTCACTTATGATATATATCATATTTATACGGATTAAAATTAAGTTAAATAATTTATTTGGGTTGTTTGATATATTATTAAAATTTTAATCGGTTTATAGTTGTTTATTGATTGTTTTGAGATTTTTAAACTAAGATTTTGGTTGGAAAATGTATCATTCAAGATATATAGAATGTTTTTACCGATTAAATTTAAGTTAAATAACTTACTTGGGTTACTTAATATATTATTGATATTTTAATCGGTTTAAAATGTAAAATAGGTTAAGACTATATTATTAGAAAAATTTTGAAACTGGAAACTTAAGTTATAAATTGAGATTCTTATAATATTAGATAAAAACAATATTTTATAAATATTTATAATTTAAATGAGTTATTTGGTAGAAAAAAATGTTATTTGAAGTAAGAATTTTTGGATAGTAAATATATGTATAGATATTATTAATAATAAAGTCTATGTAATTTAAGTTAATTATTTGTATGTATATTAAATTGTATCTATATTATTTGTAGATTATCTTGTACTTCGGAGTTTGTAATTTGTGCTCTTATTTCTCAAGCTGTGAGGTTAAGCTTGGAGTAGAGGTAACCGGAGTTAATTTATTTTATATACATGCTTTGGATTGTAAGGTGTTTATTATGTTTTTATTTTCTTAGTTAATTTGTAAAAGTATGCCTGTGAATAAAATATATATTTTATTATATGACAAATTTTGGTGAAGTGGGAAGTATGTTGATCTAATTATGTTTGAGTTGTGTTTTATTGGAAATTGTGTTTTCGTGTAGTACTGAATTTAATATACTAGTATTATGTTATTAAATGAAATGAAAATGTGTTATACTTTGTTTGAAATTATATCATCTTACTTTGAAGATTGTGATATTTTGATTTATATTGTGACTATGCATGGGGTTCATATGTGGAGGATGGGATTTTGTTATGTGGAGGATAATTGTTCTTGAAGCCCGCGCGGCATGCCTACACTATTGATCCCAGTGTTTGGCCTTATTGTTAGACCCCTGTAGTTCTTCCTTTTCCTTGGCCCGGAATTGAGAACGAACTCTTGGGTAGACACCTCTTGCACCATAGTCCATTCTTGGGCGGTGTAGGTACAGGAGGGGGCCCGTTGCTTGATGTGAGTGGGGTGACCTTTGGCCGGGTTACTCAGCACAGAAAGCCCGGGTCCTTGTCAAGGAGTCATAAGGAGGAGCAAGGTGATGGGAGGGCATATTTCATTGTGTTGTTGCATATATGTACTTTTATATGAATTGTGTTGTGGATGGAGAGATATACTCTTTTTATGTGATTGTATCTATTAAAGTACCATTTATTTCTTAAACTATATTTAAGCACTACTTCACCAACTTGCCATCCTACTTGTATATGTCATAAATTAATACTTGGTTACTGGGACTTTACGTCTCACCCCGCTATTCATCAATACTTTTCAGGAGAGCCATCTAGTTTGGCTCGGCGCGAAGGGAAGCAACCAGAGGCATAGGCGAGCATAGCCTAGTAGTCCTCTTTTGGTTTAGGCATGTAATGTTATGTATATTGCCATCTTAGGGCCCACAACTGTGTTGACATATACTTTCTTTTGTTTGGATGACTGTATTTGATGGAATGCTGTTAAAATGGCTGAAGGCCATAAGACTCTGCTGTATGTGATACTCTTATATGTATGACTTATGGGCTGGGTTGACACCCTGTGTTTCTTGTGCCCTAAGTCTTTGTGGGATGAATATTATGTTGGGCTTGTGGGCGGTTACTGTGCCATGAGGCTTTGTTCTACATGTTGTTAAACCCATGGGTGTTTTATGTATCCTGAGCTACTTGGGACGTTTTCGAAATAAGTCAAACTCTTTATAACCATGGTAGTATTTTAACACTCTAACTCAATTCTTTTTCTACCATGGTTATCATTTTAAAAATAGTTTTATAATTATGTATTAAGAAGAGGTCTTTTCAACTTGGTATCAGTTTCAAGGTTTTGTGTGATCCCTGGTGCATTTCATATAGTATCTGGCAATATACAATCATTACACTTATGCTTCCCTTCAATTTCTCCTCTTTTCTCCTTTCTAAGTGTTTACCTTTCTTTTTGTGGGGTTCTACCCTTAGGTGGGGAGAGATGGTAAGTACCAGGCGTACTGTTGATGCTGGTGAGGGAAGTCGCCAGCCACCTAATGGCAATAGTCAAGCTAATCAGACTAATGATGAGATCTTAAGACAATTACAAGCTGTAATTCTTTCCCTTGACGAGCGGGTTAGAAAAATGGAAGATAACCGAAGGAACAAGGAAGCTGAAATCTCTCCAGAGATGGAAGGTCATCATGATGGTGATAGTATTGGACATAATGGGGGACAGTCAAATGAGCAGGAAACAGTAAATGAAGAAGAGGTTGCTGAGGTGTTACCAGACATTCCTATAACAACAGTCTGGAAGTATATAGGCCGCTTCAACCCTCCAACTTTTAAGGGTAGTCTGAATTCTGTAGAAGCAGAGGCTTGGATAGACCGATTGGAGACCCTGTTTAGTACGGTGAATTGTAGTTCCCAGCAAAAGGTGCAGGTTGCCAAGGTTCTGTTAGAAGGAAGGGCAAAGCAATGGTGGGATAGTGTGAGACCCATGGATGATAGGAGGATGGTTTGGAATCAATTCAAGGATTTATTCTTTGATTACTTCTTTCCAATGGAGGTGAGACAACAGAAGGAAGCGGAGTTCTATGCCCTGCAACAGGGAAACATGCATGAGGATCAATTTATTGGCCAATTCATAGATCTATCCAAGTATGTGGCATACCTAGATCGTTATCGAAACACTTGGTGGATGGCTGTTCAGTTAATGGAGAAAGCCAGACCAGAGATTAAGCAACAATTGGCCACAGTAGAGGTCACTACCTTTGAAAAGATGTGTACTCATATCCGTCAAGTTGCACGGAGGATGAGAGAAGCTGATGAGTATCGTAGAAGAGACAACCTTGGGCGCTTTAGCCGCCAAACCGGTGCCTCAGGATCTGGAGGACGATTTAGTAGCTATACGGGACCCACTGGTGGAGTGGGGAAGAAAACTAGCCAATCAGGTGCTAGTAGTTTTGGCAACAGAAAACAATCCTATCAAGGAAACTCTCAGCAGAGGAACCGTTTCCACGGCGCTCAGACCCAGAGAAGTCAAGGAGGAGGGAGTCAAATTTCCCAGCGTGGCTCTGTAGCATCTACTCCTAGTGTGACTAACCATCTCGCTTGTCCTAGATGTGGGAGGCAACACTTCGGAGAGTGCTGGATTTGCTTTAATTGTGGAGAGCCGGGACACTTAGCTAAGTATTGCAACAAGGCTAAGAGAAACAACCAGACCCCTAGGTCATCTGTACCAGGGCGTGTGTTCGCCATGACTTCTGAAGAGGCGGGTGCTTCACCCAACTTGATTCGAGGTAATGTACTCTTACAAAATCATCCCTTGTGTGCTATGTTTGACTCAGGGGCAACCCACTCTTTCGTGTCCTTTGATTGTGTTGAAAGATTAAGACTATGTATGGATGATTTGTCTTATGTTCTGTGTGTGACTACTCCGGCGGGAGCAACCGTGAGAACTGTTAAAGTTTGCAAAGGTTTGACCTTTGTATTTAAGGGTCGGGAAACGACCATTGACTTGATTTGTTTGCCCCTTCGAGGCATAGATATTATTGTGGGTATGGATTGGTTGTCAGCTAATAGAGCTACCTTAGATTGTAAGAAGAAGTCTGTTATGTTGCACTCAATCTCAACATCCGTAGACGTATCAGATGTTCCTATTTTGTTGTCAGCAGCTCAAGTAGTGCAATGTGTTAAGAAGGGGTGCCAGGCTTTTGTTGTCTTTTTCTCTATACAAGCTGAAAAGGAGGGGAATATAGACCAAATTGAAGTAGTAAGTGAGTTTCCCGATGTGTTCCCTGAAGAAATATCT